TTTATGTTTTATGTTTTATTTATTTCATGCAAGTGTCACCAACTTCTGCGTCTCACACAGTCTGCGCAGATTCTCATTGCAATAAGCTCTGACTTTCTTAGCAGCATTCCACAATAACTGACTTGTTGTGGCCGAATTTCCAGTGAATATGTTTCGGTACATTTCATTCAAGGGATTATCTTCAGGTAGCTCAATCAATCCTGAAGATATCCGCACCGGACTTACCCTCGCTCGACAAAAAACGTTCAAGGGGTTGCTGAAGTCGATTTTTATTTCTATATGCACGACCACCTTTTTGATGATGTAAGTCAAATCTAGATCGGGAATCAGTGTTTTGCCCATGTGATCTGTCTGGAAATAAAATTCATTGGATTATACCTACGAAATTTTTAATATCTCACGTCTGACTTACCGCTCGAAAAATTCCTCGTATTTTTATGTCGAATTCCTTAGCCGTCCCGAAAAAACACGTATCTGGTGCATATTTTAATGGGTTTCGTGCTGTTTCATTTATGGCCTTGATGGTGGTGAGACCTCTGAGAGATATAACGAAAAGTCATAAAATAAAATTATAGAAAACAGAAATTATCGATGGTACAAAGATTTTTTTACTAATGTACAGCAATGTTTTACAGCAATTTTTCATGGAAAATCTAAAAACGTTCTGACAGGCCTGTACATTTTTCTAGATTTTCCATCAAAAAAATTACTGCAATTTTCTCTATGTATAACATCTATTGAAGGTTCTTACACGAGCTTTTGCTTTTTTACAGTTAAAGTTGGTGTGTGTTCATCCCCCGGCATAACAAGATCCAAAAGCGTTATATTTTCGTCATAGAACTGGTAATTTGGACTCTAAGAATGTCAAATTAAAGAGAAACAAATTAATATTTCATGATACATCAATCACAGATAGTAAATAAATTTTTTATATTTAATATATTCATGTAATAAATTTAAATTTATGAAAAATGAACAGAAAAAGTTTCTTTTTTTATAGAAATAGCAGAAAGCGATGATCTGACGAACAATCATTTTAATTTTAATGAATCTCCGTAGAACACGAGGTAATGGACGCCGCCATCTTGTTTAGCTGTACATTCGTGAGTCGTTCTTAAGATGTCGGCGCACGCATCTGGTAGTTTTAAATGATTATTCAAATTATTATATATTTATATAT